AACAAAAAAGAGATAAAATAGATGAATGGATAAAGTAAATACATAAATAATACCCAACTTTATGTTGCCTATAAACAACTCACCGTTCCTGTAAAGACACAAATAGACTGAAAGTGAATGGATGAAAAAGATATTCCATGCAAATGAAAATCAAAAGAGAGTAGGCATAGCTATACTTTTATCAGAGAGAAAAGACTTTAAGTCAAAAAGTGGAAAAAGTGACAAAGAAGGGCATTATATAATGATAAAGGGGTTAATTCATCAAGAGAATATGGCTATTATAAACATATAGTTACTCACTATTAGAACACCTAAATATATAAAGCAAACATTGATAGATCTAAATACATACTGCAATACAACAGTAGGGGAGTTCAACATTCCATTCTCAGGGATTGACACATCATCCAGACGGAAAATCAGCAAAGAAACAATAGATTTAAACATTACTCTGGACCAAATTGACATAATATATGTTTACAGAATATTTCATCTAACAGATAAAAGTATATAGAGTCTTAGTTGTGCATGGAACATCCTCCAGAACAGATCACATATTAAGCCACAAAATAAAATTTGTCAAATTTCAAAAGATCAAAATCATATCAAGTATCTTTTCTGACCACAAATATATTGAATTAGAAATTGATAACAAGAGAAATGTCAGAAATTTTATGAATACATGGAAATTAAACAACATGTTCCTGAACATCCAATGAGTCAATAAAGAAATAATTTCTAGATAAAAATAAAAATACACACATACAAAACCTATGGGATACAGTAAAAGCAGTTCTAAGAGAGAAGTTTATACCAATAAATCCCTGCATCAAAAAGAAGAAAAATCTCGAATAAAAAATCTAACACTAAGCCTAAAGAAACTAAAAAAATAAAAACACACGAACCCCCAAATTAGTAGCATAAAATAAATAATAAAGATCAGACCAGAAGTAAATGAAATAGAGACTAAAATATAATATACAATATCAACAAAATGAAGAGTTTTTTTTTATAAAGATAAAATCAGCTAGCTAAAATTTAGCTAGACTAAGAAAAAAAGAGAAAAGATCCAAATAAATAAATCAGAAGTGAAAAAGAAGAAATTAAAACTAATGCCACAGAAATATTAATAAAAAGGATCATAACAGACTATGATGAACAACTATATGCCAACAAATTTGAAAACCTAGAAGAAATGGATAAATCCGTTGACATTGGAAAGGAAGAAGTCAAATTGTTGCTGTATGCAGATGACATAATTGCCCATATAAAATATCCCAAAGATTCCACCAGAGAGCTATTATTTAATAGAATTAATAAATAAATTCAGTAATACTTCAGGATACAAAAATCAACAGACAAAAATCATTAGTGTTTCTATATATCAACAGCAAAATATCTGAAAAAAATCAAGAAAGCAACCACAGTTACAAAACCTACAAAAACTAAATATTTAGAATAGATTTAATCAAGGGGATGAAAGATCTCTACAATGAAACCTATGAAACATTGATGAAATAAATTGAAGAGGACACAAATAAATGGAAAATTATCCCATGTTAATGGATTGGAAGAATTAATGTTGTTAAAATGTACATACTACCTAAAGCAGTCTACAGATTCATTGCAACTCCTATCAAAGTATCAATGACATTCTTCACAGATATAGAAAAACAATTGTAAAATTTTATAGAATCACAAAAGTCCTCAAACAACCAAGGCAATTTTGAACAAAAGCAACAAAGCTGGCATCACACTACCTGACTTCAAAATATTCTACAAAGCTATAGAAACTAAAACAGCTGTGTTACTGGCATTAAAAATAGACGCATAGATCAATGGAACAGAATAGAGAACCCAGAAATAAATTCATCTACTTACAGTCAACTGATTTTCAAAAGGGCCAACACATACACAAGTGATAGGATTGTATCTTCAATAAATGGTGCTGGGAAAATAATGCAGAAGAACAAAGCTAGACCCCTATCTCCCATCATATACAAAAATTAACTCAAAATGGATTAAAGACTTAAGTATAAGACATAAAATGATTAAAAACTACTAGAAGAAATACATAAGGGAAATGCCTCATCTGGGCACAAGAAACTAAAGCAAAAATAGACAAATGGGATTATATTGACATAAAAAGTTTCTGCATAGCAATGGAAACAATCAACAAAGTGAAGAGACAACCTACAAAATTGGAAAATATATTTGTAAACTATGCATCTGACAAGAGAGTAAGATCTAGAAAATATAAGGAATGAAAACAAGTCAATCACAGAAAACAAATAATCTGATTTAAAAATGGGCAAAAGATCGGAATAGATACTTTTCAAAAAGAAGATATACAAGTGACCAATAAGTATATGAAAAAGCACACAACATCACTAACATTGGGAAAATGGAAAACAAAACCACAATGGAATATCACCTCACTCCCATTAGAATGGCTATTATAAAAAAAAAACCCAAAATAACAAATACCAATATGGATGGAGAGAAAGGGAACCCTGTGCACTGTTGGTGGGAATATAAATTAATACAGCCATAATTGGAAAAAGTGTGTATATATATGCTTCAAAAAATTAAAAATAGAACTACCATATGATCCAGGAATCCCACTGCTGGCTATATATCCAAAGGAAATAAAATCAGCATGACAAGGAGATATCTGTACTTTCATGTTTATTGTGGTACTATTTACAACAGCCAAAATAGGGAATGAACCTAAATTTCCATCAACACATGAATAAAGAAAATGGTATACACACACACACACACACACAGGCATATTATTCAGTCATAAAATAATGAAATCCTATCATTTTCAGCAACATGGATGAACATGGAGAAAATTATGTGAAGTAAAATAAGCCAGGCACAGAAAGAATACTTCATGGTCTCACTGGTATTTGTAATCTAAAGAATTTGGTTTCACAGAAATAGAGAGCAGAATAGTGGTTACCAATGAACGGCTGGAGAGGAGAAAGGGGAGGAGAGAATAGGGAGAGATTGGCCAATGGGTACAAAGTTACAGTTAAATAGAAATAATTAAGTTTTTGTGTTCTATTGTATGGTGGAGTAATTATGATTAACAATATTATAGTCCATCTATCAAAATAGCTAAATGAATTTTGAATGTTCTCACAAAAAAAGATAAACGGATGAAGTGATAGATGTGCTAAATACCCTGTTTTGACTATTACACATGTATACGTTTATTGAAACATCACACTGTACCTTCATAAATATGTACAATTATTATATGTCAATTTTCTAAAAGTTTGGGATTATTTAAAATCTTTAAAATAAATTCCTAAATTATCTTGACATTATAAAAAATTTCCTAAAATTTGGCCAAAGCCCACGTGTTCATTTCCAAGTTATCAGACCCACTTGCAGGTTAGAAATAGCCATAGTAAAAAAGTGTTTAGAATTACCCCAGTATCTGTAAATGTTATCATGTTTGACAAATGCTAAAGAAAAATATGTTTTATGATTCTTTATAATGTCCATATTTTCAAAATAAATTGACAATAGAATAATAAAATACATAATAAGTAATCATCTATCTGGATGATAAAAATTTTATGTTTTTGACTAAAGAAATACAAGTAAAAATTGAAGAATGAGTTGCAGTAGTGCAGAATATATGGGAAAAATTTAGTCCTGCCTGCTGGCACAGAACACTTGATGCCATAGTGACCTAAGTCAAGCAAGGGTCAGATCAAAACAGTCTTCAATACTGTGTCATGGTAAACTCACTAGTGACATCTGTGCAATGATGATTTTATTTTGAGATTAATATTCTGGCAACTCAAAACTGCTCTATATATTTTAAAAAATTAAAAATACATATTTTTATTTGTAATAGACTTGCAAAACAGAAATATGATCCATGTAGATGTTATTTTTTCAACACGCATTCTTCCACAGTTGATATCTTAACACTGGCAATTATATTAATCTGAAGATTATGTTAATCTTATGTCAGGCCTTAGTTTATTATAAAAGAAAATATATTTTATGATGAAAAAAATGGGATGCTGGAATATTTACAAACTCAAAATAACTTTATGGTATTAGAGTTTAGATGTGAAGGCTGTATTAATCTTTAAAATTATAAAGTATGTACAATGTTTAAAGTTTATTTCCCTAGATAGGGATATACAGATTTCTCAAATATATATACAAGGTGGCCAAATTCCTGTTTAATTTTAGTTTATGTCATTTCTAAAATTATTATTCATGGTCACAACAGTTTTGAATATTTGTTCAATTAAACTTTTTTTCCATTTAAAACTGTTTATTAATTTAGGTTTGTGCTTCTTTCCAGTCATCAAAAAGGTTTACAAGAACAGCTAACAATCCTACAAACTTCAATGTCTTCCTCAAGAATTACTCATTCTCCACTCCCAGTACAGTACACAAGAATATTTCATATTTTATTCACTCTATAAAATTAATTCTGAATCATTAGATATTTTCACTTTTAACATAAATAAGGCTCTCTTTCTAAAGTAGATCATAAAAAAAATGAATAAAGGAAATTAAAGACATTTTTTTTTTTCTAAAATCAAAGCCAAGTAAATTTCAAGTATATTTCTTTGTTCCTTTAAAAGTTATTTACTATTGCAAATGGGGAAATTGAAATCTTTTTAAAAGAAATATTTTCCACAAAAAAAACTCAGTCAGCAAAATATATAATTCTGTACTTTATATTGAAACCTAGGTAAACTTATGGATAAAGAAATAAAGTTGGTATACATCAAGTTAAAAAATGTTTTTAAGAGTTAGCAATTTAAATTTACCTACCACATAAAAAACACATTGCCCTTTATATTTTAGTTCTCTGATCTTTCAGCCAAGCACATATTGGTTTTTTAAAGGCCTGATTTGGATAAACTCTCTTTTCAAACAGCTATAATATGCATGCTGTCTGAATTAGGAAAGTATTATAGCAGTGTAGGGTGGAAATGTTAGACCTTAATTCCTACCTGGGTAAAGAAGGGTTCATAAATCTCAACTCCTTTATCAGATCCTTGCAGTAACACCTCCTGGCCACGTCTCCAGCTATACCGAACAGGCGGATTGGAATTGGCAACACACCGGAGGAACACTGTTCTCTCATAGTAAAATTGTTCTTTAGCTTCACCTATACTTTGATGAACAGTTACTACTGGATCATCCAAATCTAAAAGAAATAAAAACAAACAAGTGATAATGTTACGAAGTACATGGTTTTTAAAGTATTGAACATATACAATACAAGCTAACCAAAGAAGCACATACTAGCGATACAAATTAAAACAATAGTTATTTCTTAAGATCCCTATTTGTTGAGATAGTACATATGATCTTGTATATTTCCAACTCTGCCAACAGTTACAGAAAACAGTGATCCATGAGAGAAATCAAAATTCAAAACCTTCAAATTCAAGAGTTTAGCCAAAAAAATGAACCATAGTGACAGATAAATTAATGTAAAGAAGCCCAATTGACTCTTCTTTAATATAATTTTTTGCCTATTATTTATAACTGTCATATTTTTTAAAAAGTATTATATTGATAAATTATTATACTTTCTATTATAACAAAATATGATCTTGCAGTAGTTAAATTTTCCCTTCATCTCAAATTTGGTATCCTAGGTTATATTTGTTAATTTGAAATGTGCTAACAAAAGGCACTATTAAACATCATGCATATTTCTGTCGCTGACTATTGGAACTATGTGCCATTTTATGTGAATCCTAAAGAAAGACTATATACTATAGGATTTAGCATTTTCTGGAAAAGGCCAATTTGTAAATATCTGATATTTGTGAGTCATATGGTCATTGTCTCAGCTCCTTATCTCCGTTGCTGTAGTGTGAAAGCAGCCAAAGAATGTAAGTAAATGAATGAACAAAGAGTGTTGCTGAGTACTAGTAAAACTTTATTCATAAATATAGTCACCTCTCAGCTAGATTTGGCTAATGGGCCATAGCTTATAATCTTGGATATGACATATCCCAGGTCCTTTTCTTAAGAGAAAAAGAAATTAAAAGGTGTACTTGCCTTAAAACAACAAGCTCTTAGTTCCCTATGCTAGTATATATACTTAAGTATGATGCAAATATCTGCTGTGTTAATTACCACCTTTACCCAGCTTTACTCTTTTTAATTTTATCACCATAAAAGGTTACTTAACACTTGTGATCTTTAATTTCTTTGTTAGTAAAATGGGAATAATAATGATACATTATTTAGACTGTTAAAGAATTAAATGAGATAGTCCATAAAGACCTGAGCATATGGTAAATGCTCAATAAAAGTTAGGTATTACTACTATTAATAATAATATTATAATTTTTAGGGTCTCATTTAAACTCCCATTGATTCCATGTTGTTCCCTTGTCTTTATCTCATCAATTTATAATACATTCAACTCTCATTATAAATAGGTAAAAAATGTCACTTGCTCATTTGTTCAGGCTTCTACAAGACAATCAGTTTTGTGAGAGTATGAAAAGAACCAATACTATTTATACAGACATAAGAATAGTGAAGTATGTGAGCATATGTTACCCTAATATGTAAAAGACACTGTTCCTTAGAAAAAGATTCTCTTTCATATGTTAAAATAATAAAAATCCAACAAAAGTAGTGAAGTGATAGCTACCTTATAGAACCAAAGACCAGAATCCAAAATTTCCTTAATTTTAAAAAGTTAATGTTTTCACATTTGAATTGTTTAACAACCCTTCTTTGATTTCTAGTTTTGCAACATTCTGAAGGGTTTTTTTTTTCTTCTAACATTAGAATGTTTTCACAGCTACCTCAAAGGCCTCTAATTTTAGTAGTGTAAATTTACAGAACAACTGCTGCTTTTTGGTAATGTTTAAAGAACTTTCAGTTTCAATTCACTCTATTAGCAGTGTAGGGATATATGCTGTCTGGTTTTATTATTGGCATATTTAAAGATACTAGTACATTATCATGAAAAGTTTAAAGGTTTTAAATACCTATCAAATATTCACTTATTTGGTGATTAGGCATATATGTATATATAATATATATATATGTATACATAACATATATATATCTAAACATACAGGAGACTAACTGAATTTAGCCTTAGTGACTCAAAAAAAGTTACTTTGATTCAACTGTAAGCAATTTATTTTCTGTCTTGTTCAAAACATAATTTCTTTTAGCCATAGACTCATTGTTAAAAGATATGAGCTGCATATGTTTTAAAAGCAAATTCTGAATTCAGAAAGTTTAGGAACAAAATAGAATCGGATGATAAACAGTATAACAATGGTGACTCTTCTCGGGTTCCAAATAGTTAATAGTATTGTACTTTCCAACATCCATTTATTGATATATTCCTAGCTCTTTTCTTGTTAGGTGGTGGTATCACTAAGCTCAGTCAGGAATAAACTGAACCTGAACAATCGTTTAAACATGCTTTTCCCTGGTCTGGATGAGTTTTGAATCACAGGCCTTTTGAGATTCTAATCCTGTGACAATGGCTTACTGAACATTTTATTGGCTAAGTTATCTGTTGAATTCCCTCATGTTTAGGAATTTCTACTTCATAAATCTTTTTGCTTCTCAGATTTAAAAACCAACATACTAAAACAAAATTTGTTTTAGACCAGTCAAATGATGGCAAGGCTAAAAAATATATTTTAAGGGAGATCACGTGTGTGTATGTATGTGTGTGTGTGTGTGTGTGTGTATATATGTAGTTTAAGTAACTTATATACTTATGTGTCACTTAAATATATTTCAATATATATTCTACGTATTACTAAATATATACCTAATACAACTATTTGTCTTAAGACAGCTTTCTGATAAAAGAGACTCCAAGACAGAGATATATATGCAGGAATGGTTTGGCGAAGTGCCTTGTAGATTAGCACATGTTGGGGAGTGAAGGAAATAGGTTTGAGCAGGAGAAGGGTTGAACTACAGAACAGTTGCAAAAGTCTCAGTAGCTCTGGAGGAGTTTTGGAGCTGTGGTGTCCCCTCAAATCTGTCCTGCTCAGAGGCAAGGGGGCTAAACTTTTATATAGCCACCCCCTGTTCTATCAACCTGTTATGCAATTTGTGCTACTTCACACTAGGTGGTATAGCCTTAGGAGGGGCTATTCTGGTTGGCTTAGGGCAATTTCCAGAGAGCCATTTAGCATGTAGCAATCAGGTGCTAATACTCCTAGCAGCTGGAGTAATGAGTTCTCAGGAGGGGATCTGGCTGGTGCACCATAGCATCCACTCTGATCCACTTCCTAGGTGTGATAACTCTATCTGGGAAAAGCTACTTCAGTATTCTGGTTAGTTTCTTTCTGTGAAAACTTTCAAAAGGATCTGTAGTAGGATGGTATTCATCATCATCTTCTACTATTGACATTCTAGATTCCTCTCACCCTTGTCTAGTACAACTTTTGATGTTGGTATCTTACCTATAATAGTAGGGTTACCAGAACATTGTCACTAGGAAATCTGAGTTCTTAATTCACCATACTCTTCTCAGGCCATGGCCAATGCACTTGTCTGCTTACCACCAAAATCGGAAAAGTGAATACCAAGAAATGACACAGTGGATCAACTGTGTATCAAACTTATTCTTCACTGGCTCACTATGTAACAATAGTCCTACTTCTAGAAAATCTTACAAGATAATTACTCCCACCAGGATAGTGCCTCCCCTTATCTGCTGTTTCCTGACACAGAAGAAGCCTAAAGTAGCTGAGTAGCTGCCATCACTTAAAGAGTAATGTGACTTCTGCTATGTCACTTACTAGAATCTTTTTTCACTTCTGGGAACTGAGAAGTCTAAACTGGCAGAGCCTAGAGTTGCAGGAAGTGAAGCATAGATTTCTCAAGTGGGTCATTGGATGAGATGGTAGCAAGTGAGGTCACTCTTTGGTTCTTGGACCCATGTATTCTACAAGTAAAAAAAGAGCACCATATAATAATGGTCATTGATTTGGGATTTAACTGCACCCTGGAGGATAGCAGCTGCTTCTCATTAGATTTTATCTCTACAAGACTCAATGGCTCTCTCAAAACGCCAGCCTATCACTCTATGATGCTGGCATTTTCAGGTGATGTAGTACATAATATGGCCAGATAACCTCATGGCAATGTGCCCACTGCAGAATCCTAGATAGGTCAACTAGGACCCTCTGTACGACAGTTCTCAAAATGTTTCAGGAGTATCTTTTCCCTAGTACATGTCATCCAAATAAAAACACATAGGCTCTTGGTAGAAGAACAGAAGAGAATCATTATCACAGATATTTGCTGTAGTGTTGCAGGGATCTTCCTGGTGATTCAGTCAAGCCTTCAGTCAATGAGTTCAAGGTCTGAAAATTGCCTCAGGTTCAGAGATTGTACAAGGAGTCATGACTTTTTATTAGGTGGCCATGTTCAGCTTCCTGATAATCCATCTTTGATTTATTTCAGTTGTGTAGACTATATAATACTTTGTTGGCTGTCTCCTTATTTTTCCCCTAGAGACGCTGTGTTCTATTAACCATCTCCATAGCTCTCTGTGAGGCAAGAGTCCTGGATGCATTTAAACTACCTGCTCATTAAGAAAATCGTGCCCATCTTCTTGTGACAACTAATCACCATGACATAACCTCTATTATTCTGAGATTCTGTCATCTTCATTGCTATCAGAGAGCCCAGTTTTATAATAACACCTCCTTCCATCAATAATTACATAAAGAGGATGGTCACCACAGAAGCGTCCCAATTATGATTATGTCTCAGTCATCAGTACATTCTTAGTGCTTTAGTCCATGGGATGTCCTACAAGCCTTACAAAGAAAAGAGTTAGCCGATAACATTTTTTGACCTTACTTACTTGGTACATTCACTTTAACATGCCCAGACCTCTGAGTATTTTGGTACTGTCTGCACAGCAGCCCTGACATTTATATTAATACTTGATTTAGTGGGGACCATTGCTTTCTCTAAGTTTCTGAAAGCCACCCTAGCAGCATATAACACTGTTTTCTGCTGTCCTCGCCAAGGTGTTAAATCTTGTATCATGGTAGAATGCTCCCCTATCAATAAACTCTGACTCTGTATCTTCACCTGACCTTCTTCTCCATTCTTAATCCTATTCAGTTTTATTCTCTATCCTACTTGTCCAACAGCATCAGGATCTAGCTCCATACTCCCGTAACT